CTGGGTGCGCGTGCTGTACCACTGGACTATGACCTTGTGTTCGTCCTCGCTGTCCTCACAGGCGCCATCGACTTCGTGGCTGTCAACGCCTACCACGGCTCGATAGTCGCGGACCGCAGGAAGGACCCCAATGGACACGGTGGAGGCCCCGGGATGATCCCGATGAAAGGCCTCTGGGCCGACGCCAACGTCACCACCGTGGTTGAAGCCGGCGCCAACAAAAACATCTTTTCGCAGGTGAACACTCGAGTACCCACAATGTTGCACGCACTTGTAAAGCGGCCGTTCACAAATTACGTCACGCGTTTTTTTGTGTTTTTTTTGGGGGGGGGGAGGGGTGCTAGGCAAAGTGATGAACGTGTGACGAGGGGCGATCCGACCACATTGGGTGGTTTGGTAACGAAATTCAAGCCCCATTTTAGCTTCCGAATGAACCCCCGCCCGCTCGGTTCCAGAGATAATGCCAAAAATGTGAAACAACAAAAAGATTCGTTACGATGCCCTGGTCCTTGGCGACCACCTCACAATCGGTTGTGCGCAGGTAACTGCATGGTTGCTCCGCGACGTGTCCCTGTGGATCAGAGCCAAATTCGGCCCGGAGCTGGGCATCTTCATCTCGGAGAACGGCATGGGCCTGTACAACAGCTCGACGGACGACTGGGACACGCGAGCCGTCTACCACAGCGTGAGTACTGACTTGCCCCCGTGGCTTCAGGTGTCACACCCGGAAAACCTTTGAGCTCATGTCACAAAGTGCTCCTGTTGTTCCATAGGAAATTTTGACTTTAATGTAAAGCTGAATTCAGTAAATTTAAGGGAATTCCAAATTCCGCTCGAATGAACGGAATTGAGCACTACCGCCACTGTCAGTAGAATTTTTGTTAATTGCATAGCAAAGTGACTCCATCGGCTTTCGAGTCACTATTGTATACAGCGCATTGAGTATAATCAGGAACACTTTTAATGTATTGGCGCTCCAGTCTGGTTTTTACTTGAAATCAAGGTAAGGTACGTGTTTTTTTCTGGATGGAGAGCAATCAACGCTGTGGTCACCGAATGCTATCCTCCCTTAGGCCTACCTGCGCGAGCTGATGCGGACAGTCAACGAGGACGGCGTTAACGTGCTCGGCTATACCATGTGGTCCTTGCTCGACGACTTCGAGTTTAGCGCGGGCTACAAGTGAGTACCGCGGAGGAAACGTAACTTTAAAAAGTACCTCTAAGCAACTCTTTTAAACGTACCGGGTGTTCAGGCTAAGACACGGCAGTACGTTGGGTTTCCAATGCCCTGAGTGCGCAGTGCACGGTATCTGCTGTCTTGTGCGGAGTTATATCAAGACGATGTTACTCCGATATCGCGTTAAATTTTGATGTGATTCGTAACCCCCTCGGCACTCGTGTTTCCACTCAACGATGTCTCCGCAGGCGCGAGTTCGGATTGGTGCAGGTCGACTTCGAGGGCGGCACGCTCGCCCGGACCCTTAAGAAGTCGCACCACTTCTTCAAGCGCATGATGGCGGACCGCTCCGTGCCCCTGGTGCTCGCGTCCACGACGGTTAGCGCTGCCGGAACCCTCGCGCCCTCCGTGTGCGTCGTCGTCCTCTACTCTGCTCTCTCGCTGCTCCACGCCCTCCTATTTTAAACACGAACCAAACAACAATCTGTGATATTAGGAATTTAATTTTTCTCTCGTCCGTAAAATAAATAAATAAACTGACATTGTCAGAACGAGTGATTTACAATATTTACGCTATCTCTCTAATTCTATTAAAACAACGATTGATTAGATTACGCTGTTGTATAGCCAAGGTGTGCCCATTACGATGACAGCCAATAACAACAATGATTTTAGAAAAATGAAAAGAAAAATCCTGTAGCTTGTTGGCCATTAGCATTGCAGTGCAGGGGGTACAGTACACGATAAAAAGTTTGTTGAACATGCCAATGTCAATTTAATTGCGTGTTTTTGTTATAACATCAGCAAAACAGTTACAAAGTACATAGGAGGTTTGAACATTCTATACACACCTAAATGAAGAAAATGGGTACATTTGCGGTCCAATGTCTTTCAATAAACTGCCACATTTACTTGGCAAATGATTGCAGTATGAAAGTTACAGTAAAGTGATGTAACAGAGTAGGTTGAATACAAACATATGCAACGACAAAAAAAAGAAAAAAAAAAGAAAAGGACTACAAACAATACAACTTAGAATATCCCATTCCCATGGATAAGATGACTGATTCATGGCACTTAAGCTGTGTATGTAATGGCTTTAAGCTTCAACTTCATACTACGTAAGCAAAAGGTATAGATACTTACATTGGAATATTAATATCCTGATGTGAAGCTGCATGCAGGTTTTAGATACTTTAATTACTATACAACACTCTTGAGTCACATATTATTTCTTGTAACAACAAGAGATAGAATATTGAAGTTTGATTGTCCACATTAGTATTTTAGAAAACAGTATAAATGATCTATTCAAGAAACCGCCTCAACTGCATTATCATGCAAGAGGCTGCTTAAAATGATTGTGTAGTCAGAAAGGAAAAGAAAGGTTTCTTTACACACATTGGAATCTTAATAGTCAATTACTTGATATCCACATAGAAATGATAGACTGAGTTGCAATTCATTAAAGGTTCTCTTAAGTAAAATCACCACAACAACTGTGTAACTGCTAACTAATTTTGGGGTTTGTACCCAAATCTGTTCAACTACCGGTATTCTGTGCCAAACACAAAAAGAAATGTATAGATACTGAAAACAAATGAAAATACAGCATTATGTTCCATGTGTTCGTACAGAAAACAGAATAAAACTGAACAAGCAGATAATCTAATAGTACAGTACATAAACATCTAATACCTTGATATTTACACACATATAATATAAAAACAATGAGTCTATAATGTTTGATTTTTAGGGTAAAACCAGACGTAGAGTCCATAAAGACAGCAAGATTGGCTCAGTCTAGAAGTCACAATTTCTGCTCCCTTCAACTTTGTAACAAAGTGATAAAATAACATAGCCACTTGATGGATAAAATATGAAGGTAGCTTACAGGTGGTGACAAATCAAATCAATGATAGCATGCTTTCATATATTTAAAAAAAAAAAAACCTGGAATTGAAACCGCTTTCAACAATTACAGAAATTGACTAGGTTCTTCAAATTCATTTTAACGGAAAGGAAAATCAAGTTGTATTTGTTCAAGTTTAATGTACTTGTGGATTTCGTAATAATTTGAGAAACCTTCAAGATGAACCATAAATCATAAATCGTACATTACCGAAAGTTACACTCCTGCTTTGCTGTTGAGTTCATTAACAACAAATGTGTTATATGTATACTAAATGCTTGGCAAAAGGAGAACAATGTAGGTAATGAAAAGCTCTAGCGTACCAAAGACTGACACACTTTTTCCTCTCCCATTCTCATCCTGGATGATGCTGGCCAAAGTATAAGATTACATTAAGTGAAGTAAATACAAGGAGAAAAAGTGAAAGATGAGAAACCAGACAATTCAAATGAAAAATTACTTCTAGGTATTTGCTGTCAGACTTAGCACAACTACCAGAAAATTTGCTAAACGCACAAAACCTTGGCAACTGCAGTGCTCCAAATAAAATTGTTGATTGACAACCTCTTGCAATAAAAAAATGACTGGTATCACAAACATATTTAATTTTAAAAAGGGTCACAGTTATCAACTTAATGCCTCCTTAAAGTTACCAAGCCAATGATGCTTCTATTTACGCCCACTAGAACTGTGCTTCGATCTTGAGGGAGAGTGAGAACCAGCGCTGCTATGTGAAGAATGAGATCTGTAAATTAAGAAAATATGAAGTAGAGGTTGGAAAATTTTAAAAATAAATGCCAAATCTAGTTAACATACCTGGAGCTTTTCTTTGAAGAGCGGTTGCCAGAACGAGATCTAGAGCGTGAGTGTGAGCGTCCTCGAGAGCGTCGTCGAGATCGTTCAGATGAGCGATCCCTGGAACGATTCCTTGAGCGTTTGTAAGAGCGGGAATCTGAATGAGATCTGGAGTGAGATGTTGATGTTGATCTTGAGCGGGAATCATCTGATCTGGATCGTGAGCGAGATTTGGACTGCGATCTTGATCTTGAACTGGAGCTGGATTGTGATCTGGACTGAGAATTAGACCTGGATCTCGAACTTGATCGTGATTTTCTTTTGGTTTGCTTGGATTTAGCATCCTTGGTAGTAGTCTTTTTCTCTTTTTCTGTATTTTCCTGACCTTTACTTGTGGATGCACTGGGCCCTCCCCAATCACTTAAATCATATTTTGACAAATCCCCGTCATCGTCCTACAAAGCACAAAAGGAATATAGTGAGAATCAAACAATATCACCGAAATGTATGCAAAACATAAAACATGTATAAGGGAGGAGAGACATACCTCATCATCTTCTTCCTCCTCTTCCTCATCATCTTTAAGAGCCTTAGTGCTTTTGGGGTTCTCTCTTTTTTCAGACTTTTGATGACCATTGCTACTTTGCTTCTTCTTTTTTCGACGGCCAAACTACATAAAACAGAGACAATAAGTATCCGCTAAAATTTTAATACTGGACTGATGTTCTACCCTAAAAGTAATAACTTACCTCGTCAAATTCATCATCAGATTCTTCTCGCTTAACATACTCGACCACACCTCTCTCATTGTAGCCCCCTCCATAGCCAGTGCGCTCTTCTATCTCACCAAATTTAGGTGCATTGCACATGTTGCATGTACTACGTCTAGCCCAATTGACATTCCCACATCTGAATAAAAATAATAATGAATTGAAAAATGCTAAGGAAAAATGATAAATAAAAAGGAAATACTTTTCAAGAGAGTATACATACTTATTGCACTGCCAATCATCAGCACTGAAAAGCCCTTTGCTTTTTTCAGCTGCAGCTTTCCCTATTTCAGTGCATTGTTTTTTCTTCTGCTGTAGGGTATCTTCTCTTTCTAGAATGAATGGGTTCAAAGTTATCAGTAATAAATTATTAAAATAGTGTGCAAAATGCTTCTTTGAATCTTTATGCTAACAGCAACAATAGTACAGCAATCAGATTTTTTATCAATTCAGCCGGAAAATTCTCAATTTCAATTTCACAGATCTATACAAGAACATTTCTCACAAATGTGAGAATGTGCAGACATAAAACGCAAACAAATTTACTACATCAATAAATAGCTTGCTAAATAAATAAATACCTTTGTTGCATCGATTGCAAGAGGTTCGCCTGGCAAAGTTTAGGTTTCCACATCTGGTGACAGACAAAACAAAGAAACTCTCAAAATTGTACGGCAATACATCAAACAAAAAGGCAAAACCATTTAGATACAAGAGGACTAGGTGTAAAAAATTCCTATACAGTTTCCATCCATCCAAACAATTTTGTTTGCAAGGTTCTGACACTAATTCAAAGTACAACTAAGAATCTTTGCAACAAAATGAGTCAATGATGTGTGCATGCAGAGAAGCAACCAGAGTTTGAACCATTTGAATGAGTACTTGAGAGATGTAAATCAATAATACTCAAACTTAAAGGTAAGGTATGTGAAAGTCTCAAACATACTTTCGTTAGTGGCCGACATGATCCTATGGTTTCGATATCACTTCAAATATTGAAATAGATGAGAGGAGTGTTAAAACTTACGAAGAATCCGTGCAAATCCAGTCGCCCTCGTTCACTTTGTGTTTTTTCTCCATTTCAGTGCCGGTTAGGAATAAACCCTTAAGCTATGCTGTGGAAGTTTCCAGCACCGCAAGTTATAAAATGTTCACGAGGAAAATTATTAACAAAAAAGTTATAAGTATAAAGTTTCAAAATCCGGCAAATAAACATGCAAGCTCAAGCTCTTTTCTCATCCGGATAGAGCGACGTTGTTTTGTTGGTTATGTTCTCGGCTCTCGAGCGGCT